AAAGTACACAGTATACCGAGTACACGACCTTAGTAAAAGTACACAGTCGTGCTGCATGATGATGCGTGCTCAACAGTCCAGGTAGAACAACGTGACAAAGTGAAGTCTGGTCCTCTGGACGGAGAATCGGACTTCACTTTGTTCGACCGACACCGACTCACAGAGAAAACTTCATGAGTTTAAGGTAAATTAGTAAAACAGAGACTCTCATATTTCTTATCATCTGGGGCATAAAAGATATTTTGTCTTTTTGTGTTAAAATTGTTGAATTGTAAGAAATAAAGCAACTGACTCTCTCACCTCGGGCCCATGAGGAGGGTGTGGGGGTGATGGTGTCTCCCCCGGCTGCAGTGAACTGGTCACGTGCGAACACACATTTAATATGAAATGTTTAATTTATTACGATTAATCGTTTATTACACGTCATCACCTTCTGCTGGGGCAGCGGGGTGCCCTCCATGGAAGCTCTGGTTGGTGCTCTCGCCCGCTCTGCTCTGACTGGGTCAAACTGTGGCTCTGCCTCTGTTCATTTCTTGAACAATCCCTGCATCATTACATTTGTTGGCTTTAAAAAGACCACGACAGAACACAAGCCCTTTCATTTTTACAGCTGACGAATCTGCCGCGGCGACAGACGACTTTAATCCACGTCTGTTTCGCTTGGTTGTCCAACCCCGACACCCTCGAGGCGAGATCTGGGTGTCCGAGACGAAAACGAAATGTCTCGGACAAACGGAAACCGTTTACGTCGACCCCCTCGTGTAAAAAGTGTGTAATAGGTCTCGTTCACTTGAAGGAACAGCGAGAGAAAAGCCGAAGCACTCGGAGTTACGTTACTCCCCAGCAACAAGTCTTTTACTGACACAGAATGTGCTGCTTCAAACATGACTCATCTTCAGGCTCTTTTCCAGCGGAGCTTTTGTTGCTGCTCAAAAGCCTCTTTGATGCCATTCAGCCTTTTATAGTGCCACTTCCTTCTGCGCATTCCTGGCGCCACACTTTGTTGTGTTTTCTTCTCTTCTGCACCAAAAAGACACACAACCACAAAAACACAAACGCAGACTGCGTCCCCCCCCCCCCCCCCGGGGGCAGCGGGGTTTGTCCCTCCAGCGTCCATGAATAAAGGATGAGCAACGCAGTTACAGTAAAACCCTCAAAGTCCAAAACGGGGATACGTGGTTCGACGGTGACTCCATCGAGGATTAAAGAAGGCCGCAGTGGGAAAACAGGAAGCGTAATCACAGCGCGGTGTGGTCTGGGTACCCCCCTCATCTCTCCAGGTGCTCTGAAAGACCGAGCTAAACATCTCAAAGGTGGCGGAAAGAACGCGAGTAAAGATCGCAGGACTGTGGTCCCCGAGCACCTCAGGGGGACTTCCATTCTATTGTCCACAAAACGGCATTTTGTTCCACGTCTTGGTCATGAATTAAAAAAACAAACTCAGTGGCTCCACAATCACCAGGATCAGTTTAGAGGTGGGCTTTAAATGTGAAACTTTTTTTACATCACATCAATAAAATCAGCCAATTTTTTTAATTTCTGATTTAATGACACAAAACCCTCCATGACAATATATCGTGCACAACTACAACTCTGAAAAAGTTGAGTTGTATAAAAATGCAAATAGAAACTAGGGATGCACAATATTGGATTTTCGGCCGATATGTCAAAACTTATTTGTCCGATACCAATACCGATATTTTTCCCCTAGACCTACTTACAGAGACTACATCGCTTTCTCTGCTGTGGGATTAAAATATATTATTCTGCGTGGTCTTTGTCCAGTTGGCCTGCTACCAAATGCAGATGCCAAAATGATGTCACACTTCAACTTGGATTATGTTTAAAGTCAAATTTATTCATGACATTTACTCTCTCTAACACAATGACAACACTCGAACAGTGCAAATTAGTAAATTTACACAACTCTAAACTCAACGGCGCACGTGACGTCACAACGTTGTGCTGGCGCTGCACGCATCCTTTATCACTGGGTTGTCCTACAAAAACAGCTCCTTTTATATCGGTGAGTTATTTTGATGGAATGGCCGATGTCCGATATTTAGCTTTATCGCCAATATCAACCGATACATGCCGATAATATCGTGCATTCCTAATAGAAACAGAATAAATGCACAATGTTTTCCCTACCATTTTACAAGCAGGGCGCCCCGCCCTGTCAACAGAACCGAGCACCCCGAGCACTGATGCACGTATAAATCCATAATTTAAAACACGTTCATATCATCAAAAGATTTCGAGAAAGTGGAGAAATCTCCAGGTTTGAAACTCAACAATGGATGTCGGCGATGTTCAGGTCCTCAGGGGCCACTGCATTAATAACGGATCTGATTCTGTTCTGGACATGACGACGCGGGCCCAGGAACATTTCCACAAATCATTGTCTGCAAACACAGTTCAACCTGACATCTACAAAGGCTGCTTAAAGCTCTATCACGCAAAGAAGAAGCCATGTGTGAACTTTATCTGCAAGGGCTGCCATCTCCTCTGGATCGCTGCTCAAAGTGGAGAACTGTTCTGTGTGAGATGGATCAACATTTAAATTTATTTTTAGAAACTACGGACAACACGTCCCCCGTACTAAAGAGGAGAGAGACCACTTAGACTTTTGTAATAGCACAGTTTAAAAGCCCACCTCCCTGATGGTATGGGGGTGCATTAGTGGCTCTTTTCTGGGCAAGTTAAACATCTGGAAGGCATCATTAGTGCAGATCAGTACATAAAGGTTTTAGAACAACAGCTCCCAACTCGTAAAGGACCGACAACCCCGGACTGTTGATCCACTAGAATCAGAAGCTCCGACTGGTCTCCTCAGTTCCTGGATATTTACAGACTGATGCAAAAGAAGAAACGCTCCACAGCTGTAAACATGGACCTGCCCCAGTGTTTTAGAGATGTGGAGCTGCAATCAAATAAAAAAACCTTTTTATTTTCAAATAATGGTACAACTTCTTAGGTTACAACGTTCCACTGTGTCTCTGTTGAGCCATCCGTCTGTTACAAATCTGATTCTGGTCTGCAGAGAAGCTTCTTCCAGTTGAGGCAGAGACCACATCTGACCTTGAAAACATCAGTCCACGCCTTCAGTACAACCAGACCACTGTAACGCTCTTTATGTTGGGTCAGTCACGTCGAACTTTCACGTCTCCAGCTCGTCCAAAATGCTGCAGCTCATCCCTTTAACAGAAACACGTAGGTTTCACCAGTTTTGTCCTCCCTTCACTGGTGTCGGAATCGATTTTTTAAATTCTCCTGTTGAACTTTAAGTGCCTCACTGGCCTCACCGTCATGTCTGTGTGAGCTACTTTAACCAGATGTTCCTTCTCAGGTGCTGAGATCATCCGACCAGCTGCTTTTGGTTGTTCCAAAAAAAAAAAAAAAAAACCAGTTTGAAGCTCAGAACTCTCTTCTCAAAACTCATCTGTTTTCACTGACGTCTAACACACTGTCATTTGATTTACTGTTTTATTGTTCTGTTTTTTAATGTTTTTCTTTTGATGCTTTTAATTAATCGTTGGTATTTTTTCATTGGATTACTGCCATTGATTTTTATTGTTAAGCACGTTGGTAACAGCTGCTGGTTTTAAATAAACTTGACTCTGGGTGTATGGGATTTGTAAATCACTGCATTCTGTTATTTACATTTGACGCACCGTCCCAACGTGTCCAGCATCACGTTGGACGTGCGAGCGTCTTTTCTTACCTCCCCGTCGATGTACTTCTCCAGACAAATGGCGCAGTCGGAGGTGGAGCTGCTGCTCAGCGAATCAGACGCTCCACAGCTGCTCTCGCTCTGCCCTTTCCCTTTAGCCTTGAACTTCCTCGTCTCCATCTTCTCCAGCGCCTGGATGGCCATTCTGTTCATGGAGCTCTGCAGTGGGGAGCACAAATCGTGAGCCAAGATCTCTGCAGGATTTACACGAGCTGCCCACGTTCCCTGCAGTGATCGTGCGTCTGGGTTTACAGACGTTTACCTCCTAAGTGTAAAAGTGCTGACGTCATGATTAAAGACCGTCCACGGCGACAGAAAAGTGAATTTTGCAGCCCTGGCTCCAGATTTCCATTTCTTTGGTCTTGTATGTGTCATGTGATTTGCAGCCGCCGGTGTTTGTTCCGATGCTGCATCACTCCTCACATGACAGAGTTATTTATGTCGAGGCTCAACTAAACCGCAGCGCAGAGCGTCTCTTCCTTTATGCCCGATCACGCCGAGATAATTGCAGACATTTTGAGATCAAGGCCTGATCATCAACACGAACTTTGGGACGAGGGTTGACAAACCAGTTTTCAGATTATATTCAACTATAATCTTGCTCAGGCAAAAACAAAAAAAAGAGGAATTCCGTAGACAACGTTTGTTACTTCACAAGTTTCACACTTAGAGAAAATGTGTCACGAGAGGTGCTTTTGAGCGGCTGAGACACAGAGAAAATATTATAATTTGTTTTAAAGTGCACATCGTAGAGACGCTCCTGCATTCTGGCCGGACTACCTCGGTCTTAACGGACGCCGCAGCAGATTTCCTGCTCTGTCACGACATCGGTGCTTTTGGCTTCGTCAGCCAGCGTCTCATCAGCGTTAATTAAATGCTAATCCTGATTCATGTGCCCGACGTAAGCCTCCGCTGAGAGCTTTTTGTCAACACGCAGGAGGACTCGATCAGCGGCGGACCTGCTGGAGACCTGGAGACTGGAAAAACCAGGCACGCTGTGCGTTTGGTTGTGCTTCTGTAAATCGTATTTTTCACCCAATAAGTCACGTTTTTTTGCATAATTTGCATGCCCTGCGACTTATACACTGAAGCGACGTATTTATGGATTTCCCCCCCATATTCATAAACCAATTATTGTTTTAGGTGCTTATCTTGTTAAATTTCGATGTTCCTCCTTCCTGAGTTCCTCCCTCTGCGCGCTCCCGGAGCACCGAGGCTCCGAATACTTTTGAAAATGCACCTGACTGGACCGTCAAAGTGCGTTTATTAAGTAAAACTTAAACAGAGACACAACTTTGCTATAATTTCGAGCAAACAAATAATTGTTTTTAAGTGTTTATCTTGTTACATTGTTGTTAAAAGTCCTACCGTGCACGCTCCCGCCATTTCGCAGCCAATGGATTTTTGGCACAACACCGGCCACATTTCCAGGTTGTGAGCGGTGACGTGTAATAGATGCGGCGTATTTATGGATTTTTCCATTTTATTAGACATATTTGGACTAATGCGACTTATAGGGCGGTGCGATGTGTACGGCAGAAATTATGGTAAGTGCTCAGAAGTTTGGTCCTGTGTGACTCAAAGCGGATTAAGTGTGTGTGTGTGTTGACACACTGACCTGGCTTCTCCTTTGCTTCAGTTTGATCTTGATGAGCAGGATTAGACACACCAGCGACACGACAACAAAGAAAGCCAGAAAGATGCCCATGTCGAAGTATTCTGTGGGCTGCTGTGGAAAAAGGAAGCAAAAACAATTTGTCTTTTTTTTATTCATCAGCAATTCTGTACATTTAATTAGTTTATTAGTCGCACAGCAGGTCAGAGTGCTCAGAGCATCATCTATTTCACTTTATTACAGAAAAAAGAAAAATACGACCTTACATTAGCTGCCGGTGCTTTCAAGACACATTTCTATACAATAATTTATATTTTCACTTCCAGCTGTTTCATCAAGTCAGTCCTGAAAAGTCAGGAATTTGATTTCAGTATTTTCTTTGATAAGAAACATTAGTCTATCTTCACTTTATTATTCCTTCTATTTACAGAAAAACTTCTTTTTTTTTTTTTTGAAAAATGCTCAAACGAGAACTTTTTGTGCATAAAAGCTGGACAATCATCAAGATGTTGACTTTTGGGTCATTTAACACATCTAGCCCGGAATTTCAGGTTTTTATGCGTCATTTATTTATTTGTGAGGTTTTGATGGAGAACATTTAGGCCACACCTGGGCAACGTATGGCCCGGGGGCCAGGAGTGGTCCTCAGACAATCGCTAACTGGGCCCCCATGTTTTTAAATAAAAACACATTTAAAATAAGTTGTTTTAAAACAGGGTTTTATTATTGGAACTTCAGGAATCTGAAAACAAAGTCCTAATTAAACATCTTGGACATATAGAACTGAAACTTTTGGACTAAAATCATGTTTGTGGTTCCAGAACCAGAACCAGACGGGACTGCTGCAGAAACACGCCCGCGGCGTTCACGCACTGTCCTGTGCTTGGTCCGAACATCGTGGGAAGTTTCTGCAGAACTAGAAGTAGAACATGGGGGCGTGGTGGTGCAGAGGCTAGAGAAGCTGGGCATGTGAACTGAAGGTTGCTGGTTCAACTCCCCGGACCGACAGCCATACCACTTTATATATAAAGCACTTAAAAACAGGCACAAGGCCAAACAAAGTGCCGACAACATCAAAATGTGAAGCAACCACACCTGCCTCCACACTCATTTGCCCCATCCTGGGCCCTTGAGCAAGGCACTCAACCCCCATCATCTGCTCCCAAACAGGTCTCTCTTGAAAATGAATCCTCATCACTCAATAAATATAGAATATGTGTAAATAAAGGTTAAATAAATAAAATGAACTGCTTCAAGAAGCAAAAATATACTTTAACTGAACTTTTTTGTTGTTTAAACACAAACTATTGCCAGTTAATATTTCTGATATTCAAACTGTTTTGGGGGTTGAGCGTGCTAACTATGCTACAGCTCGTCCAGCCGGGAAATGTTTCCAAATCATGTTTTCTGAAGATCATTTTGTCAGTTGTGGCTCTTTATTTGCTTTTATTAATTATCCAGGGGCCTCTGGACAACAAGTGATGCACAAAGACAAGATATTACCCGTTACTTAGTTACATGAGTACTGTAGTATCTTGCATAGTTAATTTTTTTTTTTTATTCTACATTTATGATAATAAAAGCCTCTCTGTATAAACACCATGAGAATTTTAAAGTTAGAAAAGACTTAAAAGTCCACAGAAAACTTTTAAAAGTTCATTTTGGACAAAAGCTGATGGCTGGAAATGTGTCGCTGCGCTGTGAAAAAGTCTTCGGCCTCGGGGCACAGAAGAAAGGCGAAGGCTCCGATTCCACAGCTGGAATTCTCTTTGGCCATCACATCTGAAAGGTCTCTGCGCCGTTTCAGCCACATGTCACCGTTTCAGTGATCTGTGTCGTGCGCACCGTGCAGGTTTGGCCGGGAGCTCTTACCCTCGGTGGTCTGTGCTGGATCCGAGCGCGGGCCACTTTCTGCTTGTTCACGATGTTCATGAGTTTGACGGCGTCGTTGCCCTTCACGTAAACCACCGGCCGCTTCAGCGGATCCTCGGCGACTTGATTGAGCTGAACAGACGACAGAGGCCGAGTTAGTTTGATGGAAACACAATCGATTACAGGAAGTGGTGACCAACTAGACATTAACGTCCACGAACTCAAGAAAATGCTCTCAGACGTACTTTTCTGGCTCGTGCGACTTTTACTTTTTTCCTGCAGATATAAGAAAGGCACATTCTTTTCATTTAATAATTATTTATAGAGACGAGCGTTAAACACTATGGCATTTACAGCTCAGGCTATTTGCAATTAATGTCCCCTGATGGAAAAACTATAGATGAAAACAGAAAAACCATAATACTTAAAGACAGTAGATAAAAGTCTAATTAAAACAAAAGGTGAAAACATCAAGAGGACGGCAGCGACTCATGAAAACAGGTCATCCTTAAGAAACTGCTTCAGTTTCAGAGGAAAGACGCCATGATGTCAGAAACACATTTTAAATCTGCAGGTAGAGTTCGACTCATTAATCCCTCGTAGTGAAAAAAAAAACATCTTTGTCTGAAGGAAGTTTTACGACAACGTAGAACGAAGTAGGAACCTGACATGAATTACGCATTTTAAACAAGTGGGAGGTTGGAGAACGAGGACGTTTTAAAGTAGTTTTTAATTTATTTTTAAGAAAGTAGTGATGGGTTTCTGTCTAAAACCCTGTTTGTTCTGTATCACATGATCCTCGGAGGTTTGTTGATCGTGGATTCTGCATTTCTACATAAAACTAACACTTGTGGGGGGTCTACGTCCGGTCACAAACTTTGCTTCTAGATTTTTAATTTAGGAACACGTTAATCACTGATATGATGTAGATGGTAAATGGACTGCACTTCTAAAGCTCCGTTCTATCTTATCAAGCTCTTTACAACAATCTGTGCCTCATTTACACATTCATACAGCACTCTACTAAATCTTTAAAGAATAATCAGAGCTTTATCACATTCATGCATCGATGGGACACGCATCGGAGGCAATGAGGGGTTCAGTGTCTTGCCCAGGGACACTTCAGCATGCGACTGCTGGTGGAATCAAACTCCCAACTCTCCCAGTGGAGGACGACTGCTCTAACCACTCAACCACAGCCGCCACGACATGAGGAAAAAAAAATGGAGCAGATTTTTTAAAATTGTTATATATTTTTGACTGATCTTTCTGACTTTGCAATGGGCACCATTAATTAAATAATTTACATTTTTTGTTTGTACTGACAAAAAAATAAACCTACACCAGATGTAAAATTTCCATCTTAATCATGAGGTAATTATATTTTCTACCTGAACTACTTTTCTGATTATACTTTCTGGTTTTTATATTACCCAACAGTCTCCTCAAATGATTAGGGTGGCCCTTGGAGAGGCTGAAGATTAATCTATGGGGGCCAGTGCCACCATTGACCACTCCCTAGCTCCGCCATTGCGCCTGGTTTATTTTTTACATTTAAGTTTATTTGCATTCTCTGTTCAATTCCAGTCCAGAAAAGCATCTCAAAAACTACAAACATTCACTGTTCAAATCTTTCAGCAACGGGACGCATTAACTTAATATTTATAGTTCTATTTTCCTGACGTATAACCTTTGATCCTTTTATTACGTCCAACTTTTGCATCATTTATATGAATAAAAAAAAGTCAAACTCCTGTAAGGACACTCGTTTCCAAATATAAAACATACATTTTTATTTAAATATTATTATTTGTGCTTCCTTTTTAAAAGCTTTATCTCATTAAGTGTGTAAATGTTGCATATGTTTGCAAAACCTTTTGGTGCACCTTTGATTTATGTCGAAACTTGAAAAAGAGTTCTCATTAGGACGTCAAAAGACACGATGCATTTCTCATGAAACAGTCTTTTCTCAGAGGTATCAAACTCAAAACTCATCGTGGGACTCGGATTCGTTTTAAAAAAGATTTTTGGGATTCACCGCTGACGTAAAACTTCTACCCGTCCAGTCACCAACGACTGCATCTTGGGACGTCTTTTCACTTAAAATGAAAAGACGTAAAATATTTGGGAATCTGACAGCAGGAGATGAAGTCGTCAGTGAAGACGATGTTCTTGGCTTTGAGCCGTTTGACAAACTTTCCTCTTTCTCGTCTGCTGAATGGAAACCAACTTCAAAAGCTCAGGGGAAGTACCGAGGATAGAAACGCTACCAGTCCTTCTGTTGCGTTATCCAAAAATAAATAAATAAATCCATGCACGTTTGGTGTAAAGTTTGCCAAAACTGCAACTCCCGCCTGGTCTTTTCACACCAAAGTTTGACTTTTTAAAGAAAGTCACAATCTGAACTTCTCCCTGAGCGGCACTCGGCTTCATTTTCCAGCTAAAATGAGAGAAAAGCGAGGTCAAGTGCTCCAACTTTCTAAAGCTTCATCTAATTTTGGCCCGGGGACCTTAATTCTCTGTAAGCTCCGCCCCCTGCCCCTCGGCCTCGCGGCTCCTGTCTCTGCTCATCGCTCTGCTCTGACTGGAAAAGCCTCTCGGGGGAATTTAACGCAGCCGCTCGGCGCTGCCTTTCATGTGGTCTGTGCGCAATCCCTTTTATCTCTCAGCTACGCACTTTACGACCCAGCAGCAGAGAAGAAGAGGAGCAAGAAAAAAAACAAAAAAACTCTGCAAGTCCAGGCCTGGCCGTGCACGGATGAATACCACGGGAAAATTCTTGTGACAAAGGAGCAAGTGGAGGAACAGAACTCCTTTGCAGCGAAGAAACGGGAGTTCTGGAAGAAACCAGTATCTGGATCTGTGCGACAAGAGGTGCACTTTCTTACAGTAGCACATGCACGCTCTCCCGAACTCAAAGGCAGCTCTGTGGGCTCGAGCAGGTGAGGTAATGTGCACTACCTGTGCAATTATGAGCTCCACAGAGCTCGGTCACGGTTCAGTGAAAGCCGAACCTGGATATCCATTTTCAGTCGTCCAAACACGAGCTGAGGGCGCTGAAGGGCTGAGCGAGGCTGAGCCACACACTTGTGAACACAACTAAACATAGAAAGATCATTGTTTGTTTGTACACACACACACACACACACCAGCAGGCAGACAAGCACATGACTGAGCCACTTTCCAAAAGAAAAGGCAGAGCGCCTTTTACACACGCACCGAGACGGATTAGGCGGTGTGTGTAAATGCGTGGCTAATTCCAGGTGTGTACAAACCTGATCGATGGCATCCGGATTCTCCGATACATCAAAGATGACGGCCGTGGCTCCCCGCTGCACCGCTCTCTTTGCCTGCCAACACACAACACAATAATTATTAGATATATTCAACAGAGCAGAGGCACAGCCGGAACATGTTTGTATGGTCGCTTGCTGGAAGAGTTCACCTAAAGCCACTAGAGGGAGGTCTCTCCCTGACATTAACCCCCAAGAGCAACGAGAACAGTTTAAGGAGAACCTGCTGGTAAACAAGCCAGTGATTACATTCTGCTGGGTCGCACATGTGGCCGTTCTCCCCGCTCCTCCGAAGCCCCCATGATGTCACCCCATGTGAATCTGCACCGCATTAAGCCGACCCTGTGACCGAAAACCAGAAACGGTTCCCGATTTGGGGCTAATGCACAATTTCACATGACGCAACGCCGCATGACATTGAATTCTGCAGAGCACGCCCCGAAAAGTTGAACAAAGTTATCAAGGATTTCCAGCTGCAAAAAAAATAAGGGGAGTAAAAATGCGAGCCGCTTTCATGTGAGAGTCAGGAAAATCGGAGCACAGAGGCCTTTTGAAGAGTGCTGCTACAGGCAAGAGATAAAGGAAATGCTTGCATTTGCAGAACCCCAAGTATCTACTTGCAGAATCCAAATTGGCTTCTCCTTGTAAAAAAAAAAAAAAAAAGAAAAAAGTTTTTCTTATCCTAACTCCTGCCTCCCCCCTCCAAAAAATCTGTTCTCAACCTGCTCGCTTCTCGCTGCCCCATTTAGAAAACGTTTTGATGTCTGCATTACGAGATCTAAAGCAGCGCAGCCAGGATCATATCCTGCTATTATCAAGTGCCCCTGGGTCCTGGCCAGGACTCTTAATAACTGGAGGGAAGATCAAAGTGACAATGCACAGAGCTGAGGCTCTCCGTGTCACCACGCCGCTCTGCAGGCGAGGACGGAGAGGAGACCGGGAGCGGAGGTATGTGCAGAGGAGGCGCGATCGCTCCTCTAACAACGCATCACCACGATGTCTGAGGTGACAACAGTCAGCCATGTTGATGCTTCTGCACAATCTGTTCAAACAAGAACGACTGCGTTACAGAAGAACGAGACAAAGAACATACAAGAAGCTACATTAAAGCTCACCAGATCATTACCAGTCAGACCAGGTGGAACACACTCATCCAGCTTTAAGGTTAAGACGAGAGAAATAAAGGTGGAAATCTTGAGGTATCCAACATTAAGATTCAGAGGGCTGGGAGGAGATAATAAAACAATTACTGATGTGTCTCGATCATCAGGTTTGTGTTGAAACACCAGGAAGTAGCTGAAGGTCAGTGATCGTGGACTTCAGAAGGAACAAACACACCACCCTCACCCCCGATCATAAGAGGACCTGCGGTGGAAGTGGTCTCCAGCTACAAGTACTTGGGTGTACACCTGAATGACAACCTCAGGTGGAGCAACAACACCACCAGCCCGATCAAGAAAGCTCATCAGAGACTCTACTTCCTCAGGCGGCTGAGGCGAGCTGGTCTGGGAAGCTCAGTCCTCACCTCCTTCTACTGGTGTGCAGTGGAGAGCATCCTGCGCTCCAGCATCAATGTATGGCATGGAGGCTGCACAGCTGCAGAAAGAAAAGCTTTGCAGAGAGTGGTGAAGGCTGCACAGAAGACATTGGAGTCAGCCTCCCCACCATCACAGACATTTACACCTCCAGATGCAGGAAGAGAGCCACCTGCATCACGAAGGACCCCACTCACCCAGCACACACACTTTTTGCCCCGCTCCCCTCAGGAAGGAGGTTGAGGAGCATTAAGTGTAGAACCACTAGACTGAGGAACAGCTTCTACCCTGAGGCTGTTAGACTCGTGAATCTCTAACTAGAATAATCACTGTGAAAAATCACATCATGTTGCTGCTGATCTGTTTCATGCTGCTGCTGATCTGTTTCAATGTTGCTGTGTTCATTCATGCTCATCTGCTCACACAGACTCATGTTCGTGCTGCTGTTCGACGTATTGTTTTTATGCTGCTAGTGCTTAGTGTATATTTTGTTGACGTCTTTCTTAGTTCATATCTTAGATCTTATTACCGTTTTTCTTTTACATTTTATTGTTGCATGTGACTGGGACCCTGTCTACATAATTTCGCTCCACCACGTGTACCACATGTGCTGCGAACAACAAATAAAGAACCTCTGACTCTGATAAGCAAAATATGTTTATCCAAAATACTGTGAAACTGACATAAGAGACAAAAACACGAGTCCACAAACTGCAATGACTGCGACTTATTTCACATCAACTCAGGGATGACTGGTATGAATGGGCATGGAGAGTTAGGGCCCTTCCTAAAATTTACAATGAAGAGAAGAAAACTACTTTTAATGTTTTTTTTTAACTTGTTGCTTTACATTTTTGGTGACGTCTGGAACAGCATCAGCACCGAACAGTCACAAGAAACACAGAATCTTCCTAAATGGGTCCAAACAGGAGCATGAGCTTGTTCATGTCTATGGGGCGAAGTGTTTGACGGGTGTTGGGTCACATTCTCTCAATTCGCTGCTGATTTTAGATGATTTTGTTGAGGCCAGCTGCCAAACTCTTTAACCAATCAGAGTTCACATAGCATGGTGTTCCTCTGAGCCTGTGTTTGCAGTCTGCAGGCGTGCAGCAATGATGAGCACTAGCATCGTGGATATTTATTTCGGCTGCTCCCTTCTTCAGGGGTCACCACAGCGAACTAACTTGCACGAAGACGACGATAGTTTTTACACCGGATGTCCTTCCAGATGTAACCACAGAGCTACCACAGCCCTCTGTGTGGAGCAGAGCTGCTATCTAGGGCATCCAGGGGAGCAGGTGGTGGGGGTTAAGTGCCTTGCTCAAGGGCCTAGAGTGGGGCGAATGAAGGTGGAGGCAGATGTGGGCGCTTCACCTTTCCCACCCACATTTTTTATGTCAGTCCACGAAGTTGAACCGGCGATCTTCCAGTCACAGGCTCACCTTCTCTAACCTCTGCACCACCACTCCCCCAAAGTGCACGATAACATACGCTTAAAAATTATTATTCACAGGCTGACGAAAAATATCCATCAATGCCAACTCAATATTGAAACCCTATAAAGAAGCTAACATGATTAGCATCATGCTAATTACTTGAAACTTTTACACAAATCAAACTTTCTACAGTCTGCACTAAAGACAAGATGTAAAAACGCAACAAGTTTCCACTACGGCAACTCTAATAGGACAAACTACTCAGCTGATGCTCTTAAAGTGACAGCACACGTTACTGTTATGGAATCCATTGTTGACATCACCCATGCTTGGTAGGCAATGCATCTAGAAATATATTAAAATCCCTCACTTAGAGATAGGGTGAGAAGTTCAGTTATCAGGAGAGACTCGGAGTAGAAGCGATACTTCTCCACATCTATGAGTCAGTTGAGGGGGTTCGGGCATCTGGTAAGGATGCCCCCTGGGTGCCTCCCTAGGCAGCTTTTCTGGGCATGTCCAACATGGAGGAGATGCCAAGAAAGACCCAGGACATGCTGTAGAGACCGTCTGTAGACTGGCCTGGGAACACCTTGGGTTCCTCCCAGAAGAGCTGGAAGAGGTGGCTGTGGAAAGAGATGTCTGGACCTCTCTGCTCAGGCTGCTGCCCCCGTGACCCCACTCTGGAACAAGCAGGGGTGGGTGGATGTAAAAACCTAGAATTGTGTTCCTGTTTAGAAGGGAGAGTGCAGAGGAAACTCATTTCAACCACCTGCATCAACGATCTCATTCTTTCGGTCACTACCCAGAGCTCATGACCAGAGGTGAGGGTAGGAACGTAGACCAGTCAGTAAACAGAAAGCTTCGCCAAGCAGCTCAGCTCCCTCTTCACCACAACGGACCAGCTCAAAGTACGCAATATTGCACAAGTTGCACCGATCCATCCATCCCTCTCACTCCTCATTCTTCCTTCACTCTTGAACAAAAAGGCAGATATAATTTAATTCCTCCACTTAAGGCAGCATCTCACCCCCAACCCAGCGAGGTCCATGCACACTGACTGAGGACCTCAGCCACTTTTACAACCTGAAGATGAGAGCAAAGGCAATAATTTACACCAAAAAGCCTCGGAAGTAAAAAATTTAAACGACAATTTTCATTTTCCTTTCCTAAAATCAGTTAAAACTCAAGATTTTAGTTGGTTTAAAAATGCTTTCTAAAAGGCACCTTTTGTTTAATTCCAATTTGTTTAATTCCAATTAAAGTATTCAAGTATGCATACGTCATAAGTAACAAATGCTGTTATTATTATTATATGAAATAATGTTGCTTGGATTAAAACAAAACAGTGAAACGTGTCAATATTTGTCTTGAACAAGTCTAAAAAAATGGCAAATATATATATATATATATATATATATATATATATATATAGTTAAAAATGCTAAGCTGAGGTCTTTCTCGTTTTATTTTTTCATTGGATTTTTCTTTTTTAAAGCAGTACTTTAGCAAAAGAGGTTAAAAGTTTTCCTCACTCTAACCAAATAGTTCATAAATACCAAAAGCTTAACAGACAATGGGCTTTGAAGCAAAAGTGAAGTTTACAACAAAGTAAGGAGTAAAGTCTGGGCTTGGATTGAGGACAAAATGCATAAATAACTGCACCGCTACATCTAAAGGAGCTGTTAGCTCTGCTGCAGTCACCCAAAGCGGTAACAATGTTTAAATCATTTTAAATGAGATTACATCATTGAGCCACAAAACAGTACATTTTAATCATTATTTAAAAGTTAATATTAAAGTAATGAGAGCTACAGAAACAAAACATATTAAGAAGTTCATAAATATATTCTCATTGTAGCCCTACGCACATTTTGTTTTTCTTTACTTTTTGGTCATCAGAACAGTTTGTAGTAGTTTTATAAATTAATGTAAAATCGCAATTTTGCAGCACTAATTTAAGACAGAATTGTTCGCACTTCTAATATCAAATGTGTGAAAGTTTTCCGAGCAGAAAAATGTAACGTAACTTAATGACGCTTCAGTTCTGAAACAAAATCCTCAAAACATCCCATCTGCCCCCAGCAAC